ATGTATGCTTTACATTTCTTCAATACATTACCAGTTTATTCAATAAAGACAATTAACAGCCTTGCTTCCGAGTACTTAGTTAACCCGACACAAAAAGCGGGATCGTTTAAATTCTTTTGCAGTGGGCCGCGGAAACATATGTGTTTGGCTGTGTGGGCCGTGAGTTAAAAAAGGTTGGGAACCACTGCTCTATACAGTACATATCACAACAGGATTTGGACAATAAATAAGGTTTTTTCTAATCTTACTGTTTCTCTCCAGATGTTTGGGAAAGTCCCAGCTGTATCTCTAGGGATGCCATTTTTGTTACTGACAGCTGACTGCCAGGTGGACATCAGTGGTGGAGTTTTCGTCTTTGAGGTAACTGCAGTGGCTGCGCCCTCCCTCCTCTGGGTCCAGATTTGACCACATCTCCACCAAGATCTTTCCTTCCTTTAGTGTGTGCGTGCATATGCCGGTCCTAGATCTCCTGCAAAGGTGGTCCACCCCCCAGGTGTCTCATTGTCGCCCCCTGCTGGTTCACGTGTCAGGCGAGCCGCTCTCGGCGGGCATGCAGGGTAAAGGTTCTACTAGCAGATGGGGGATGGAGTCCTGTCACCTAGGGGGGGTGTATCCATAGGGTCTCTGCAGGCAAAGGGATTGGTGGTTGGGAAGAGGGTGAAGGTAGTAATACTCCACAAGGGCAGCCAGTGTTGGGAAGGATACTTCTGCCTCCAGGAAGATCCGGGAATCCTGCGGATGAAAGAGACAGGAATGCTGAAACAGGTGAACAGCCATGCACACTAAACTCCATGCTGGTCTTCAGCACTGAAAGTGGTGGGCAGGGTAGGCCTCTGGCCGCCAGAGCTTGCCCACGGAAGCACATCGCACTGCACTGACCTCCTCGAACAGCCTGTAGTTCCGGGCTTTATTCAGTCCCACATCCCACACCACCAGCACCTGCGGAGACGGGATGCCATAGCGCAGCATTAAACGCAGCGTGAGCTCGCAGACAGGTGGACAGAGTGCAGAGCACAGCAGGGGACGAATACACCCGGCGGAACACTCAGCCTTCGGCACTCTGCAAACTGCGAGATGTCGCACCTCAAGCGTCTGGTTAAGTGTCAAACCACCGCATACAAAATACACAGTGCTTCTGGCAGGCTAGACCTCTCACAAACGGCTATAATTTACACAAATGGCGATTTATGTAGCTGGATATTTTACTGAAGGTTGTTCATAAGCCTTGCTGCTGAGGTGAAACTGTGCTGAAATCAGACTGCTTTGCAATCCACTTTAGAAAGCATGCTCTACCTTAGATGTCTTTGTCCCTGAGTTCCTGATGCAGTAGAGTCCATCTTCAGGAGATCTGCAAGTTTCTTTAAATAGCCTGTAATTAAAAGGCATCAATGATTTATGAATATGCTAATAAATGCAGAGCAAAGACCTCTTAATTCTGTTAATGTAATTCTTTCAATAGACACTAGAGGGAGGCAAAGGCAGGAGCCACACAGCCCGCTGAAAATTGCTTAATTTAAAACTGAAAAGATTAACAAAAAGCAGCTCTGACTGTGTAGTACTGTATTGTACACCCACTTTTTTGCTACATTTTAATGCTGCACAACAGGGCTACTATTCATTTCTTACTTTTCAACATTGCTGGTTTCTGTCGTTTTAATGAACACCGAATCTGGCAATTGCACCTGGGGGAGAACAGAAAATACATGCTGTTTTTAGGACCTGTGTGTCTAATACATGCAGAGAATTATCTTTAGGCTGCTTCTGTAGGATACAGCAGACCAAGAACATAACGGAGGATGGTGCCATGAATGATCCTATGTTGCTGGTCCCATTTGGCGCTTTTCCACTGGCATACAGGAGCCGACCCGTACCAAAGCTGTACCGCAAAGAGAGACTAGTCACAGCGCGGTTCCAGCTCGCTTTGGTTTTACTATATACATCATGATGCGCGATAATACTAATAGCGAATAATATATGCCTTCAGATAATCCATGCATATCGATGCAGAACACCAGTATCTCCATTTATTTCGACCAATCAGATGGTAGTGATGCAACCAGTTCGGTTTGGTCATGCTTTCCAGTTTGGTTTGGTCATGCTTTCGGCCCTGCTAATAAGTGTGGGTACAGCTTGGGTACGGCTCGCATAATTTACAATGGAAAACCGCCATTTTGTGGCATGGCTCGGGTATGGCTCGGTTCCCGGTGGCAGTGGAAAAGCCCAACCTGCACTCACGTTTTCGTAGTCGTCATCTGACTCATCCTCATGCTTCGGGGCCGCCTTCCTCAGGTGTGCCGGCACTTCATCTACGGAGGAGCGAAAACTCTGTCCATCGGGTGAGGATCTTCTGAGGAGAAAAACAAGCACGGGAACCGTTATCTGCAACCACACCTTCAGCAGACTGTCACCTACTCTGGGAAGTCAATCGGCTGATCATAAACACGTAATGCAATAATTCCCATGCTGTCACAACAGCTCTATAGTCAGGGCCACAGTTTAAGGCATGGATACCCTGCAGGATTCGGGGGGGCCCGAGCACTTTACAGGGGCCCTTGGATACACAGTGGTGAGTCAGGGAGGGCCTAAGGTGACATTTTGTCAAAAGGCCCAGAAGTTCTTTCTACACCCCTGGCAACAGTATTTATGTCCTATTGAAATTATACATAACTTATAAATACACTCAGTCAGATTATCTTTACAATGATCAAGGAACAAAGAGTTCCTGCTCTAATTTACTGGCTGGTGTGCTTTTAGGACTGATGACCAGGCTCACACTGGTCTCCTAAGTGTTGTTGACAGGACTTCAAGGGTTCTGAGGAACTGTGAAATATGGGGGATTAAGGGAAGAAAAGGTGCAGTGAGGGGATGTGGGACAGAGAGAGCAAACAGAGGGACAGGGAAAGGGGGCACTTACTGGAAGGGGCCTCTGGTTTTGGTGTCGCTGGGTGAAGGTTTGGGTGCTAGTGAAGGCCTGTACATGGCCGGCTTTGCCAGCTCCTCCAGGGGCTTCTTTCCGGGGATCAGAGGGTTCATCGAGGGCTTCGGCCCAACCATCAGGGACAAATTCCTCTCCAGATTGACACAGATGGGCAGAGTCCTGGGGCCTTGTATGGGTACCGGGGGCTTGGTTTCCGAGAGGACGCCAAGCGTAGTCGACACCTTTTTCTTCAGGATAAGTGGGGCTGTGCAGGGGGTGGTGCCTTTAGGCAACCGGGGGTGGGGTTCTGGGCTAGGCTTTTGCTTGAGGTGGGCTAATGGCACAGGGGGTGGAGGGCCCTTGTTGACCATGTCCATTTCAACCAGGTTATCAGGTTTGGGCAGCTTGGGTGGGGGGAGGGGTGGAGCCGGTTTCCTGGGCACAGGGTTCGGAAGATTCTTGGTGGGAGCCAGGGGTGGTGGAGATGCCCTGTGTGGAAAGTCTGTGTGCTGCAGAAATGGAACTGGGGGAGGTGGGTAGGCTGGTGGAGGCTTCATGAGGTGACCTGAATAGACAGATCATAACCACTCTTAGGCTTCCACAGAAAAACCAACATAGGAACTTCACAGTGACAATGTGACAGGAAACCTTTGCAGACCATCCACTCAAGAGAGCAATGCCTCAGGTTATATCAGCAGTTTCAGCCTGGCCACAAGTACAACACTGTCAAGACTCAAGACCGTGAGAAAAGTGCAGCAGGCACCTGTTATCGAAACCAACCACCAGAGACAACCCCCTGGACCTCCTTAAATGGGTGGAGACCTCAAGTCCCCCAATGCTCAACCGCTTGACAATTTAAAGGTAAGTACCTGTCATGCTCTGCCCCTCATCTGGTTTAAGGTAGTCCTCATCCTCATCCTCCTCATCCTCTACGACATAGTCTAAGAAGGCAAAAACAGTCAGTTAGAAGGTTACCGAATATGTTCCTTACTGAGGAACTCAGGCCATTAAGTTGAATGCCATGGTGTGTTGTAGATGTTGGGAACGGTGGGTGTCTCTTACCATCTTCTGTGTCCGGGGTATAGTTTATCTCGAGGGGCTTCTCTATGGACCCATAAAAGCCGTCTAAGTCTGTATTAGAATCGCTGGAACACCAGGGAAACAAATACAACAATCAAAATGCCCTTCTTTGGGTAATATCCCCATGCTACTTTAACTTAAAGTCTTATGCAGCCTGATTTTCCACTGGAGCACTGCAGGTTGAGGGCTAAATGTGGATCTCTGCTGGCTCCTTAAACATCTGCACACACCCAGATTCACGGGACGCATTTATATTTTCTGGGACTTTTAGGGCACTTCCGGCCTTTGTGTATCACTCGGAAACACAGCAGCTCCTTGCTGGGAGCCTGAGTTGGATAGACAGTTTTTCAAGAAGAGGAAACTGCTGGGACTCCAATGATTATGCAAGATGCGACCAAATGAGGGAAGTGGGAAGAGGCCAGATTATAGCTGCACAGTCAGTGGGAAAACACAGATGTGCAATTAATGGAAGAGGGAGGAGTCTGGATCAAAACTGTGAGGTCATCTGCTATATATGGATGTACAAATAAGGGAAAGGGGAGGGGCCTGGATCAGAGTGTTCTGTGGAGCAATACAGGTGCACGTCTTTCTATACAAGCTTTATAGTTTTACCAAGCAATGTAGCAAGGAAGCTTAATATTAGTCTTCCACCATATTCACTGACAGTTTCCCTACTGGCTATACCATGACGCACTGGAATAACAATTTAAAGATTAAGATTAAAAACAAAGCAGCAATCCTACCTTGCGACACGGGCATCTCTTCTGTCATGATAGAAGTCAATTTCTTTTCGCAGGTCGACCATCCATTTCTGTCAATTTTAAACCAGAGGTCCCAAATCAACATCGACCCTACTGCCCCCTACTGTTCAGTGGCATTATTGCCAGTAGCAGATTCCTGGACTGACGCATAAATTGGGATTATGTGACTTTTCTAAACACATCATAACTGACTGAATCCTGACAATGATGATGATAGCTATGATTTACTGTACACTTGTGTGGAATCTGTTCTCAATTAGATAACTAGTGTATTTAATCAGGGGGTTTAACCATAAAGAGCCCCACTGCCCCCTGCTGGCCATCATTGGCCTCACCTTTCTCTCATCCTCACAGGCTGCGGAGAAGTACCAGGTGCGATGCCTCTTGCTGAAGTGGACGATCTTGAAGGGAAACACATTGTTGGCAGTGGTTTCCTCTGCGGCTCGCATCACTCTGTTGGCGGAGCGTGTAAAATGACGGTCACGGATCCAGCTGCTGAGTGTGTTCGTCATGTTACCGAGACCAGTCTTAAATAACGAGTTTTTTTCCAGAAAAAAAATGAAGATTATGAAGATTTTGTCTCTTCTCAGAAAAATAACAAAGCTCGCAACTTGACAGGAGTAACTCTCCAAAGGTGGTCAGTCAATGAAAATATTTAATATAGACCAGTGCTTCTCAATCGGGTCCCCGGGGACCCCCAGGACGTCCATGTATTTGCTCCCAAGGTAGCTGGGTTGAGAAACACTGATAAAGACAGTAAAATGCTATTGGACACCTGCGTGAGACACTACATTAGCTGCATTAGCTACATTAGCTGCATTAGCTGCATTAGCTGCATTAGCTACATTAGCTGCATTAGCTGCATTAGCTACATTAGCTGCATTAGCTACATTAGCTGCATTAGCTACATTAGCTGCATTAGCTACATT